CCGGCCAGCCTCCATGAACTCCCTCTGATCAAACATCCAGATCTCAGCGGCTGGTGACAACGCGGGGCAACGTCATGGATCCCTCCAAAGGAGTGCCCATTGATGGTGCACTCTTTCGTCATCAACTGCAAGTTTTGTGCAAAATGCACAGAAAACCCATTCCTCAACATAACTGAGATGTAGGACGCAAGTGAGTTTCCTCCAGTGGGTGATCTGGGTCGACACTTCCACGGCTGACCCACGCAGAACCCTCACACCGAGGGCTCCGGGCGAAGCCGTCAGTGCCGCGGTCCTGAAAGGCGAAAGTCAGTTCTGTGGCGACTGGAGAAATGACGTTTGGGCTTTGGCTTCCCAACTCGTGCATCTCTTGTAACCATGCAATCATGGAAGCTGACAGGAGTGATTTGGAATACTACTTTCCTGTAGGGGAAACCATCTGCCAACTTCCATGACTGGGTAGCTACCGTAGCCCCCGAACAAGCCCATTCAATTCAAGCAGTGATTCGCCTGTGGAGAAAGTGATAGATATGCCATTGTGACAAAAATAGATGACACTTTGCTGTATTTGTTGGTTTTATCTCAGCAGCGCCCAACACCCCCCATGGGCCGCTTTAGTAGGTGGTTCTACTTGGGGTTGGGACCCTCTTCGGGGGGGCATCGATCTCGCTTGCGAATGTGTGGAGTAGGTGGTTCTGCTACCTGGCAATATCGCAATATGGCTAGCCAATTAGGAACTTACACATCAACCCACAGCTTGCATCCTTTAGACTCGGCCGCCTCCAGGCGCACTCCCAGCTGCACCATCTCCACATCCCTCACCTGAGAGCATGGGAGCCTACTCCATACGCCACCTGGGCCGAGCGAGCCCACAGGACACCCACTACCTGGAAGGGTCCCACTTTTTTGGGGGGAAACGCCTACCCAGGGGCATAGTCATGGTGCAAAAGGAGCCTCAAACCATACTCATGGCGTCATATGAACATGCGTATCAAATCCCCACCGTAAACAAACAAAGCTTGCATTGGGCTTAAGCCTGTATAAGAGACGGGTTCCATATCCCAGTGCTGTCTACCTATTAAAGGCAAGCCTGGATTGCGATTTGATGGCAATTGGACTCTTGACTGGTCAGGTCACTTTTCCTGGATTCGTTTGGAACGAATGACCCGGTGGATGGGTATCTGCTCACACCTATCATTCAATGTAACATTTCCCAAAGGGTCCAAACACCTTGAGGGGAGGTCCTCCTTAGGAACTCGGACCAAGGACAAATCCTCAAGCCACCAATCCAAGCCACCAACTGGAGGGGAGCTGAGTAACCAGCTCCATTTTAGTCTTCAGGGATGAGAAATCTTGGAGATCTCCAGTCGAAACTCCCTCAGACTCCATGTGGGTCTGTCTTTGTGAGTTGGTACCCCTCCTTTCGGTGGTTTGCAAGGGACACCACAACTTCCAAATTTGCTGTTTCGCCCCCTGAAAAAATAATAGAACACATGTCCAGTAGCGAGAGATTCCCTTGAACACCAACAAGGGAAAATAACAAACTATTCTTACCTATGCAAATGGAAGACCAGGAAAACCAGCAATCTTTTTTAGGAGTGTCCCCCCTCCGGTGGGGGGGGGAATCAAAAAACAAACGGGGCATGTCTTGAAAGGGCTCCGCGAGTCCACGTGTCTCCGGTCCGCCTGGTCGCAGCGCTGCAGCAGCTTCGCCGGCGCCTCCAGGCCTACGGAAGGTGTTAAACAGGGCCGGACGGCATCAACATGACCAACAAGCAAGGATCAAAAGGAAAAACGTCCTCTGCCAACACAAAAGGGGCTGGAAAGGCCCGACAGTTCTTTTGGGGGGGAGCCTTCCAGTTCCAGTTCCAAACGGCTTACTTTCTCAGCACATCCCAACTGGATCCTTGCAGGTTTCTTTGCATTCATTACTCCCTTTTTTGGGGAACTTCCTAGGGAAACCGTCCCATTTCCCATGCAATGAATATGGTGCCCGTGAAAAACGGCTCCAAAAACTCAGCCACCGGCCCCGCATCTATTGGCTGAGTGGGGGGCGGTATTGCCCTGTTGGTCTTGAAGGGACTCTATCACCAATCTTCGTTTCAATGGTATTTTTTTTGGGGGGGGACGGAAACAAAAACAAATAGAGGGGCAGGGTGCGCCAGGTGAGTGGCTAGTCTGGTTATAACATACTGTAGACTTATAGCCATGGCTTTCGTGGGTTATAACCAGGCTTACTAACCACTTACGAAGTACCCTGCCCCTTTGAGTAGACTATCACATGGGTGTGGGTCAAAACTGGGTACCCAAAATGGAACCCTGATAAATTCAATTTTGACCCATACCCGCACGTGCCTTTCATGGTTTGGTCTAACCGTTCACCGGCAGCGCGAAAATATATTCAGCACCGAGGCACTGGTCAGGTCCTTCATGAAGCTGTCCATGGCATCTGCCATGTCCTGTCAACGGAAGCATGCTGAAAGGCATAAGCAGGCTGAGTGCCCTTGCCGTCCACTTCTTCTCGTGAAGAATGGGGCAAAGGCTTGCCTCGAGTATCACACAGATCTGCTCGCTGTTGAGCCAGCATCAGCAGGATGGGACTGGCTTGCACGGTTGGTTCTGCGAAGAAGCACGCTCCGGTGTGCAGACCCCAAAAAAGGCTGCAAACGCTTCCCGAATCCCAGAAAGGAGCTTCAAGATGGTTGACGGGAGCAGGGATGGGGGGGGGACCCTAGAAAGTCTTTGAAGTATGGTTGTGAGGACGACGGGTGACCTGTCAAGGTCAAAGTCACAGCCACTGAAACAACAAACAGCCACGCCAAAACTTAGTCTCCAACAAGCATGGACACTGACAGGAGGGGTTTGGGGGAAGCCCCTGACCTCTTCCATTGTTGTTGGAAAGAGGGCAAATGACGCATTCACATGATGAGGATGGTAGGAGCAAACCCTTCCAGTTTCCATCCGGACGTCCTTGAGGCCATCTTGCCGCGCTTGTTTCGCGCCACCGGATGCCTGCAAGTCCGATTTCGGTGCCGAGGTTTTCCTGAGCTGAAACTGACATTCCCTGAGGCTCCATGTATGTGATATTACCCACACTTGCACATGTTCAGTGGAGATCTCAGGCAACAGGAAGCAAATATGATTTACACTGAGCGTGAGTGAGACTTCCAAATGGAACTTGGAGATGTGAGGCAAACTGGTGACCTGCGAAATTTGGCCCCCCAGCCGCAAACTGGCCACAAGGGCGAGGCTGAAAGGAAAAAGTATGGCTATGGAAACTAAACATGCGGACATATCACATTTCAACAGGGATCCTTACATTATACACCTGAACATTGTAACATTGCCTTGTAGATGGTGGTTTCCCTTTATTCTGGTGGAAAAAGCAACATGTTTCAAATGGGCAAAATGTATCTTTTAAGGAGCCCTGTTCAAGATCCACACTTACGCGCCGCCGGCAAGGCCAAGAATTCCCCTGTGAACATTGGTTGATCAGGCCATGCCGCGGACATGATAGACTTTGCAGCCTTTGGACCCGGCCAATCCATGACCGGTGCGACTGGCCAATCCTGACCGTCTTGAATTCAGGGATTGTGGCACATTTGAGGCAAAACAAGGAATATCAACCTCCACATTGCCTGGGAGTCAGTGGAAGGTCAAGTGGCGGCTGCACAGTTTGAAGTTTGGCCCTTCATTTTCGTGCTCAGGTTGAAATCCCCAAGGTGTGCTGTGCCCGTTCTATGAGCCAAGGTGACCATTTCAAGGTGCGAAATCTATATCAACCCACCATTGACGCTTCCACCACCATGTAACCCAAAAAGGTGGGCGTTTTGACAATTCGTTCGCCACCCTTCATCTACATGAGTCTTCTTTTAGGGAACCCACTTTGGCTGGTTTGCCTTTAAAGGAAAACCGTCGTTCTGGGGGTCCTTAATACAGGACAGAAGGGGCACCACAATGCTCCACCGGTCGCAACCGGCAACATGTCGATTTCCACGCTGCCTTGGCGACGGCCTCTTGCACCAGCCTGGCACTGGGCTTCATCTGCTGTTCACACCCATCATTTAAACAGAAAAAAAAACCTGGAAGGTTAACATGCTAGTATCATTGACAAATGCATTGTAGAAAACCCAGCCTGTCAAGAGGTCTCTCCATTGAAAAGCAGGAATTCTTGAAACAAGTTCATCACCACTGTTGGAGAAAATGGGAAGGGGCACCTCCTGACAGTTCTCATTTGCTGGCTTGGCTCGTGCTTGACTTGATGGGCAAGCCTGAGAGGCGCTCACAAGCTTGGCAGCAATACAAGTGCATGTGCTTGCAGATGGTGCAATATGCCCAACACCTGAAATAAGGGATCCCAAGTGAAGGATCTTTATCATGGTGAGCTTGTTTTACTCCGGTTCGGTGAGCTCGAACTATGCAGATGTATGCCAGTGAAGTGACATCTTCGAGTGCGCGCTTGCAGAACTGGAGAAGTGTGCAGCGGGGACCTGCAAAGAATGTGCGAGGAAAAGCGCCAGAGTTCCGTGAGGTTCGATAATATTTAAGGAACATGCTTGTCCTAGCGCGAAGTACCCAAGTATCTCACCGCATCGTCGTTGCAACATGTTGAAACAACCTCCCCTCACTCTCCCACACATCGGGCGCCCTGCTTCTTTCTTTTGTCGGTGTCCTTCTCCTGAAGGGCAAAAGCCGTTGAGTGTGACACCTACCGAATTGGCAGCAGGGGATCGAGCAAAACTCCACTTTGCAAGGCAGTTTCAGCCCACATGACTGGGCCGCGCCGCAGAACCACATGCCTTCTACCGCAGACACGCGGGCGCTTCCGCCGGAGCGCTTCCGCCGGCTCTCTTTTTTTCCCTCTCCGGGTCCCAGCACAGGACTCCCAACGGCTGCATAGTTTGCTCAGTGGTCTTTGGGGCCATTGGAATGCCGCCGCATAAACGCACGCCCCATGCTTAAACCTGCTTGCCATGGTCATAGGTCTCCTCAGTAGGTTATAACTACGAACCACTTACTAAGTACCCTGCCCCGTAGCCCAGGTCCTTCGCCAGGTCGCGGACCTCTTGCCGCAAAGCCGCCACTGTGTCCACCGCCTTCGTCCAGGGCTCCTTCCGAACGCATCCACCCGTGCGAGTTGAGGGACTCCGTCACTCCGTGCTTCGGTTTGTCCACCGCTTTGACAAGCAACGGATTGAAACTCGCCAAACTTTCCAAACTTAGATTCACAAGCCGCAGGCCCCGGAGGCTTCATTCTCTCTGGCAATAAAATTCAATAAAGACCCCTCCAAAGTGGTTGGTGGACATCAATTTGACCCAAGTGATGTGCGCCCAAGGGTCCCCCAAAAAGATTGTTACCAATCTGGGGAACACATGTATCTCATCTATTGGAAATAACGGAAGGAAGCAACAGACTCTCATCAAAAGTGGGCTTGTCTTATTCTCGAGCAAGCTCACTATGATTTGCTGGGAGTTGTTGCCCATGCTAGCAGCCACTGAAGCAAGGGCGCAGCGAGCGGTTTTTGAGCCCATGCCACTACTGTATGCAGGTTGCCTGCTTTCGGCCAAGACGTACGGCCAAAAAGGGCCTCTAAACATCAGCTGCTCTCCCCATCCTGGGATCCCTAAACAGGCCGGGGGATCATCGCGGATCCCCTCCCGCCTCCCCATGCGATGCGGATTCGCCGATGGGATCGATCCGGGTCCTTTGGCTCCTTGGACACCCGCAGGTGTTCCACGCCCAGCATGGACATGGTGAACTCCACCAGCTCGGCGGCCTGGCTTGAAGAACCAAAAGGAAACCGAGAGCTCTCGGGCCCAAGTTGGAGAAACTCAGAATTGGGATCTTGAAATACAAACATTTGTCTCTCCTTCCCTCTCTCTATCTCTATCTCTCTCTCCCTCTCTCTATCTCTATCTCTCTCTCTCTCTCTCTCTATCCGCAAGCAGGTCTCGCTCGCCGAGACGCGGAAACACGCAACTTTCAACATCCCTGGTGGCTGTTTGGCAAGTAACACATCTCACGCCTTTTTGGAATAGAACCGCCTCCCCTTACGACCCATGCCTTCTCCACGGGCGCAAGGCAGGCGTCCAGGGAGTCCATCGTGGCCTTGGCCTCCAGCACCAACTTGGACACCGCCTGCACCGAGCGGACGCCGAAGGGCGGAGAAGGCCAACCGCAGCTGTTCTTAAGCGTTGAATTCTGACCAAGCCCAGGGCTGTGGGAAATGACCACTGTGACACAAAAGGGCCTCCCAAGACCAAAACCCCCATTTTTTAAGAGGGGTTCCCTTGCATCAACAGATCGACGAGGCCCCTTTCAAAGTTACAAAACGACGTGGTTGGGTTTCATTTATCCCTGCCAACAGGAGACAATCTTACACCAGGGTGGGAGCAATTAGATGGCACAAGTCCCTTTATTGTGGGTAAGTAAAGGGGACAACTAAAAATGCTGAAATTGCCCCATCTACTTTCAACCTACTGTCAATGCCGGATCCTCAGAATCGCAATTCCCCAATCTGTTGAAAGTTCAAACCCGTACAGCAAGAGCAACCACTCACAAGGATTCCAACTTATTGTAACCCAGTTGTCCAGCCAGCCATCCATTCACAAAACATAGACAAATCAAGCATAAATGAACCATGGGGGTCGCAGTCACTCTTGAGCATTGAAACACACCATCCGTCTGCCGGAAACCGGAAAGCGGGGCTGTCGGGGCACGCGAAGTCCGCTCCCAAGAAAAATGTCCCGACATCACATGTGCAGATCTCCGCACTTACTGACTGCCAACTGGCATAAAAAAACCATAAGCAATATGCTTGGGGAGAGGGGGAGGGAGCCCAAATAAGCCCCAAATAAAACTGTATGAAGCTAATTTGGGCTCCCTCCCCTCCCCTCCCCTCGCTCCCCTCCCCTCCCGATAATCTTCACGCAGAAGGGCACACCGAAGTCCACGTCTCCCAGATTCGTTCCCAATGGCCTCCACTACCTTTGGCGTGGCAAAATTGTCCAGGATGGCACTGTGGATGGCGTCCTGAGGCGAATCAAGTCAACCTCAGTGGGTCTCTGGAAGCCAGGAAACCCACTGAACAATTGGATCATGGTGCATTTGGGTTCTCTCATTTGGGTTGTCTCAAATGGATGTTGATTCTAGCATGCTTCACGCAGGGAAGCAACAAACAAAACAGAAGAACAGACTGTTTGGGAGGGTCCTCCACGCTTTAACTCAGAGCCATTCGAATGGAGAGCTACAGGTTTGGCTATATTGACATGTTCGAACTGGCAGTCACCAAGCGCCCCGGCTTGCTGGTCTGTGCGCACGCGATGCTGAAATCAGGAAGCCAACTTGGGAGTGCTAGCCACTGGCACTTTAAAGGACTTGTTTTGCTGATCATGGCTGCTCACGGATGGCCTTTCGGAAAAATAGATGGCCCTGGTAAATGGAACAGACCCCATCTGAACCAGTGCCATCTATTTTTAACCAAACTAACCTACAAAGGACAACTATGTGGCTGCTGCCTTTCCGCACCATTTCGCATCCAAGTCCCCTCCGCCCTCCGGCCTTGCAGGCGGCGACTGAAGCAGCTAACTTCTCCTCACCGCCCGACTTCCGGCCGCCCTTTCCTCAGCGGGCTCAGAGACACACCCAGCCGTGCGCAGGATGGGCTAGCACAAAACTCGCTATATTTTTCATGGCGGGCCGCAAGCATAATAGCACTATGTATTAGATGTATCTACATATCAAAAAAAAAGCACGCGCAGCCATGCATGCATGCGTGATGTTGCTTTCTTTGCGCAATGTAAAAAGCAACTGTGTCCTTAATCACCTGCCAGTCTACCCACCCGCTCCCAGCCTGGCTCCTGTGTCCGAATCCCTGCTTGAGAGTTGTCAGGGAAACCGGGTCCATGAGGCGCAAATCGCTCGTAGTGTGGCAGCACCCATGACCCCTCTACTTGCCATGGCTTTTGGCCGTTCGCACAGCACAAAGGTCAATGCAGCCAGGCAGCTCTTCCAAAATTCGAGGCTGCCAAGGAAGTGCTTCATCTCAGCCGGCCGAGCATACTCGAGTGGGCACGAGTGAGGACAACAAGCGAAATTCAGGGGAAGTGATACCAAAGCCCTGGTTACAGTGGGGCGCACTCCTGTCACACATGACACATCCACGATCAAGAAAACATGTGCGCGCCACGCGGACGGTCCACTCTTTTCTCCAGCTGAAAGCCATCAGTGGCTGTTGGCAATTCCGAATTCCGTCGGCCGAATGCAGCTGAATCAGCTAGTGGGGGAATGCACAAGTTGTGCAATTATATGTTGGTCAAGGGGATCAAAACACTCAAACTTCAAGCTCTCAAAATCAGAACTGCACTGAGGAGCCTTCCCCGGGAGAGCATGAGCCCTTTCTGAAGTTCCCTCTATTCAGCAAGCATCGCATGATGCATAACCTCAGTCTGGACAGCCGGCAGGTGGACAGTGTTGCACCCATCACGGCGCTGCGGCGCCGCGTCGCGGAATTCCCATGTGGTCGTCCTGCTTGGTGGCAAAGCTGAAGCACCTGATGTCGAACCCCCCAATCAACTTGAAAGCATATACGGGGAGTGGTCCACCAGTAAAGGTTCCCTTCTGTGCGACACCCACTCATCAACCAGAAGGTATAATTTTCTGGGCTTCCTTTACATGGACACAAACGAGCCATCCAGATTCCCATTTCCAGGGAACGAAAACATCAAACATAATTGGCATAAACGTTTCGCATCAAAGATGTTGAGGAATGAACTTTGTGGGGACTCGACCAAGTTCACGCGCGGTACGCCTTGAATCCTGAATATGGTGCTCATAGGGGCAACTCTTCATTTGCTGGCTCTACTATTTGCGGAGCTGATATCTGAGGTATTTCCCGCGTATCTCAAACGCTATACCAATGCAGAACAAAACAATGTGCGCTTCAACATTCGCTGCACTGATCCCTCCCACCTTCAGAGAGAGGGGGGGCTTCTAATGGATGTCAACATGTGTGTGTGCGTGTCTGCGCGTGTTTCTGCCCTTTTTGGCGAGAAACGAATGGGGGTCTCCCAATTCCATGTATCTAGCAATTTCCAGGACAATGGAACTATAGAATGGAATTCCAGGGGCCACCCCCTCCAACTTCATGTTTAATGGGGGATCTGCACCGTTGTCTTGGACGGGTTAGCTTCTTGGGTCGGATTCAATGCGTGGCGCACCCATCACAGCCAGCGGGCCTTCGTTCAGTTGCTCACGCCATGCTCTCCTGCGAAAGCTTGCGGCCAGCGCGGAAGATTCTGATCCTTTGTTTCAAGGGTCCCGCTAGGAACTGCTCTCCGGGCAAAACGCTGAAGCCTTAGATGCCCTAGATATCTCCTTCAAAACACTCATCCACCCCAAGCGCGCCAAGCCCATCTTTTGTTGCCTCAAGCTTGCAAAGTGCGCCTCGTTGAGGTTGACACATTCATTTGTGCATGCTGGCTTGGGGCCAGGAAAAGTGTCAAATTCAAACGAAACCTAAACAAATTTGGGTGACAAGGATGTGTTGTACGATTCCCCCATGTTGGCTTCCTCCTGCCTCTTACCTACAAACAGAAAAGCAATGAATTTAAAATAATTTAGCTGTTGGGGTGGGGTGGGTGGGGTGGGCGGGGTGGGTGGGTGGGGTGGGGTGGGGTGGGGTGGGGGGGGGGGTGGGGTGGGGTGGGTGGGTGGGGTGGGGTGGGGCCCCGCCCCGCCCCACCCCACCCACCCCACCCCACCCCCACCCCACCCCCCCACCCCACCCCACCCCACCCCACCCCACCCCACCCCACCCCGCCCCACCCCACCCCACCCCACCCCACCCCACCCACCCCGCGAGTCCTGCTCTCAAAACTCGTCCGCTCAGCGCCGGAGAGGTCTCGGCTCTTGGCGCTCTGGGCGGCAGTGGCTGCTGCTGGGCCACACGGAGCCCAGGCGCGGCCAGTCCTGAGACGCAGGCGGCAGGAACGTCCAGCGTAAGGAATCCCTGTGCTATTTGGATGCATGAGTAGGTGGGTGGAAGGGTGGGTGGAAGGATGAGTGGGTGTGGAAGGATGGGGTGGGTGGATGAGTGGGTGGATGGATGGGTGGGTGGGTGGGTGTGGGTGGGTGGGTGTGGGTGGATGGGGGGGGTGGATGGATGGACGGACGGACGGGCGAATCAAAGTAGGCCAAGCATCTGCGTCTTCGATCTTCACCTCGGCCTGCTCCTCAGCATGCAGCGTGGTCAAATCCTTTAGCCGGGTCCAGTGCCAAAGAATCAGTGCATTCAATCAGTCGCAAGGCCACGTGATGCCCATTGAGATATGGTCGAACTAATGCTTCGCGGTCAAAGGGCTTGGTGTAGACTTAGATATGGCCTGATTCATGCTCCTTGTTGGCAAGTGGTTTTCTGCGCAACCTCCGACCTCTGCGTTGCAAGAGGTCTGCAAGATCTCACCAATAAGCCAATCTTGGCGCTCCTCTTGGGCCCCTGGCATGCCCTGGTCATGCCTTTCTGTTGAGGTTCTCTTTTTGAAGGTTGGTTTCAAGGGAAACCAGGCTGAATGTGGGCTGTCTTCTAGAGTTTTCCCCACAAACGCCCTTGTTCTGAAATGCCATCGCCCCCAAGCATCCTTCTTTGTCGGGTAGGGGGGTTGAAGGGTCGCCCCCATTCCACTGTTCTAGCGGGGAAAAGCGAACAAGAACTGGATATCTCCAATAACAAGTGAAATCTGGCAGTTCCCCATCTCCAGGCCCATCCCCCAGTTCCATTGAGTCGGGATTGAATACCATTCACTATGATGCTTTGCAAAAGGGTCCGTCAAATCAGCTGGCAAAGGTGGTTTTTGAACTGGCCCACATGCATCCTTTACTGGACCCTGCTTAACACATTTTGTTGGTAGGGATCACCCCCCCCCAAAAAAAAAAAACAAGGAAAAAACAACAACACATCTCAGTAGGGACTTAAAAACAGACAACAACCCGCCAACAAAGTGTCAAGAGTCCCACCGCTCACCAACGACAATCGCAACACGTTTTTGTAGTAGTTGCATTTTCCTGGTGTTTACCCTTGAAACGATCGCCAGTTTTGACAATACCCCAAAAAGGGGGAAAAAGGCTCGGCAACCCCGTTGAATCGGAAAACAATTCAACCATCAAAAACAAACAACGCCCCGTTTACTCATGAGAAAAACATCAACCACCCCAAGAAGGCAAACCCTGTTTGATGGTGAAAACGTGAAACAACATCAACCACCCCCAAAAAAACAAACCAACACCGCGTTTTATCAGGAGGAAATCACGAAGCACCCCCAAAAGCAAGCCCTGTTTCATTGTGAAGCAAGAACATCAACCACCCCAAAGCCCGTTTTTTGGTGCAGCAAGGTCAGCCACCCGAGGAAGCCACCCACTCTTCCGACTTCCGACTTCCGAGTTCCGACGTCCCAGTCTCCAAGGCCTCGAGCTCCGTGGCGCTTTCAAAGACGCGGACGTGGAGCAGCGCGAAGGGCTCCAGCACGCGACGCTCCAAGAAGTGGAAGCCCGGCCAGTCGCACCACGCCAGCCTCGGCCGTCGTTCGGTCCGCTTCTTGTTTTTGTGGTTGTTTTCTTTCCCTTTGTTCCTCGTTTTTCCGGGGCCGTTTAAGGGGCCCCTCAGCTGTCGGGTCGTCGCTTTTTCGTTTTTGCGCTCTTCGCGCTTTGCCAGCCGTTTTGGGTTCTCTCCCTGCTTAGGGGGGCGATCGAGGCAGGGTACGTCAGGTAAGTGGGTAAGAACCGTGGTTAGAACCCACTGAAAAGAGACTTGCAACAATGGGAAGCGGGTTATAGCCATGGCTATTGCCCATTTACCAAGTAACTCGCCCCTTTCAAGTACAACCCAATTCCATGTCTCTCTTCCCTGAAAAGACAACGCCCTCCCCCAATTCCATTTGTAACGGGGATGGGCACGGAAGGACGGCTGGCCAAGGGCATCCCTCAAGGGACATCCAAAAAAAGATCAGACGTTCTTGGGATGACTCCTGAACTTGGCCATATTGTTCCGCTGGATTGAACATGTTACCATCGGCTTAAGGTTTTAAAGGCAACACACACATCAGGCGGGAAACCCTAGATTTCCCACGTTTAGCTTCTGATTTGCGCTGTGGTTTTCTTGCTGTCCAAGCAACACTGTTGCTGGTTGTAGGTTTTTAAAGCTATTAGGTGGTTGGTTAGTTGGATTGGCCCCAAATGTATTTCGCTTTTTTGGCCCCAACAATTTGTTCTCTTTGTGGGTTGGTTGCTTTGGTCCCGCTGGGGACTTCTCTGGCTCAAGGACGGGAGCGACCCCTTCTGAGGTGTCAAAAGCATAGTAAGGGACCATGCGGGCTTCCGCAGCGATCCCAAGAATATAGAAGCTGAGTTTCAAACAAAAAACTGGGAAGCTGTTTTGGGGGAGGAAGGGCAAGGGGGAAAAAGCCACTGCAGCACTCATAGCCTCTACTCATCAGCACATTGGGAAGTGGGTACGTGCGTGAGCGCATGGGGTTGGGCGGGTGGGGCCTTCTTCTTCTCATGTTCAGTCCTTGAGGCAACAAAAACCATCCGGGAGAACTAGCCTGTTGCTTCGGTAATGATCTGATACAGTTGAATATGTGGCATGGCAAAGCACGCAGCGCTGCCGTTTCCAAAACAAACATGAAAGGGAGGGCAGCGCACAAAGATAATCCGCTCACTGCCATCTCGTTCAACGCACGCTTTCAATTTCATTCACATCAAATGGGATCCTTCTATCTAAATGGCATGACTGTTCTTGGACGTATCCTCAGCACACGGAAAGCTTTTAATCCGATGGTAAGTGGCTAAACCCCAGACTTAGACCCCCTACCCAAAGAGGTCCAACCGGTTGTCTGGCGCATCTGTCGGGCCACGGATGCCGCATCTCCGGCTCGAAGACCTCCTGAGAAGCACGGCTCGAGCCGAGTGTCCTACTGTGGCCATATCCGCACGGCGGTGTCGTGGGCTTTTGTCCCGCATCGACTTTCATTCTAGCTCATGTTTTGTCCCCAACTCTAGGGGGGAGCTGCACAAAAAACAATGTCACCCCTCACCCGGTGTCACGTTCAAACCAAATTCAAACACAACATCTCTCCCTCTCTCTCCCTCTCTTTGGTCACTGCCATCCCGCAGCTTCCAACTTCAACATGCAGAGCACCCGACGCGGCCCGCGAACGCCGCGCCGCCGCGTCCTCTGGCAGCGCCGTGGCCCAGTTCTCGAGGCGGAGCCAGGGGGCGGACTCCCGGCAGCGCTGCTCCATCAGCTGCCGGACCTCCGGGGGAAAAAACGCGTGGCCCTCCGAAGAAACTCGGCGACGAGAAAATGTCGCCCATAAATATGGGAGGTTGTTGTTGGTGGTTCTTGTTCTTTCTGCTTCTTTTCTTCTTCTGTTCTGTGTTTACTCTCGGTGCTAAAATTGGCTGTGCTTTACAGCATGTTCAAGCAACATGCGCTCGTTCTGTCAACATCCCCGGAGTCAGTTTAACATCGCGGCATCGTTTCAACATCCTCAGCATCATCACTTGGCGCTGGCATAGGCTGGGTTTAGGGTGGGTTCAAGGTTGGGTTACGGCGACGGTCAAGGCGGGGTCAAGGCGGGGTCAAGGCTTGTTTAGGGCAAGTTGGTGTAGGGTTGCTTGGTTTTGGTTTGCAGGTGGGTGTAGGCTTGCTCGCTCATGCTGGGGTAGGGTTGGCTCAAAGTGGGCTTGCGGTTGGTATAGGGTTTTTTGAGGGTTGGCTTGGGGTGTAGGGTCGGTTCAAGCCACCAAATCCACACCTCGCAAAAAGTCACAAAAACCAAAAAGCAAGCCTGGAGAAAAACATGACACATCCATGAACACAAACAAGTCATGAACAAATGTCCCTCGGAGAGAGCTCCCTCCATCACCCACGCTCCCTCTCCCTTCTGCCCTCTCCTCTCTCCCATCTCCCTCTCGCCTACGGGGCGACGTAACTCCAAAAAAGCGAACGTTCTTGGCCCAATTATCCCTTCCCGTCGCGGACATCTCCGTCTCTCATGTCGCGGCAGCATTAAATCTGAAAAGCCGCGAGAAATGGAGAGAGATAGAGATGGAGAGATAGAGATGATAGAGGGACAGCGAGCTGGGAGAGCCTATCATCTCCCTCCATTCCTTTTCCTTTCTTACGCCGTGTCATCATATCTTCACTCATACACGGCAGGAGATAGGATGGTAAAGGAATGGATCTCTTCTTAACCCTTACCTTCATCCCACCATTTCCCTCGCGTCTTAACAGCTTACCCTAACCCCTCTCATCCTCTGTTCACGCATTGCTCACGACGGAGGCAGTGAAGAAGCGAGGAAGAGATAAAGAGGTAGATGGGTGAGTGATGGATGAGGGGAGGTTGGTCCCTTTCCTCTGTCAGGTCGTGAGTTTCCCTTCCCTCCTTTCCGCTGCCAGCATAACATCCCAACTGCAGCAGTGACACAGCAGGAAGAGAGAATGAGAAAGGCTTACCAATCTCCTGCCTCCCCTCTCTTCCCTCTCTATCCATCTCTTTTCTCCCTCTATCCGTCCTATGTCTTAACCCGTCTGCAGGGCGAGATGGGAGAGGGAGGAGGTTAGGCAGAGGAAAGCAAATAATCACTTCTTCCTTTCGTTTCCCCTACATTTCTCGCTTCCAGGCAATTTACTTTCTATCTCTTGTCTGGTCCATGAGTGACTGATAAGAAAAGGACCAGATAGGACAAGAGATTCCGCCACTCCTTTCACATTTTCACATCCCATCTTCTATTTCTCTCTGTTTCGTTTTACTTTTTTGCTTTTGGAAATTCTGGGGTGTGCATGAACATGGAGGAAGAAAGGAATGGAGAGATGGAAAATGCCAGGTACAAAAAAAACACGCATATCCTATCAATCACCTCTCCATCATATCCCTTCATCTCTTTTTCCTTTCTACGTCCCGTCCATCGTGAGTGAATTTTTGGTGTGGAAGGACGGGAAAGTGAAAGGAAATTGAGAGATGATTCCCTTCCCTTCGCGCTTTGGGTGTGTGAGTGTGTGCCTGTGCGTGCGTCTGTGTGTCTGTGGTGTGTCTGCGCGTGTCAATGTTGATTTCTTTTGTTTTCCAGATAGCTGAAAACTATAGGGGTTCTAACTTCTAATGAAGAAAAGAACATGCTTTGCGAGCTTGACGGCTGGGTGCTAGGGGGCATGCAGTTTGGGGTGCTGGTGGAGGCTGTGTTGCGAGATTGACAGCCGAGTGCTAGGTAGTTTGGGGTGCTGGTGGAGGTGCTGTGGTGTTAGGGGGGATTGAGTTTGGGGTGCTGGTGGAGGTGGGTGTGCCGCTTTGCGAGCCGAGTGCTAGGGGGCATGTAGTCCTGGTGGAGGTCTTGCTTTGCGAGATTGACGGCCGGGTGCGAGGGGGCATGCAAGTTGGGGCGCTGGTGGAGGTGTCGCTTTTCAAGATTGACGGCCGAGTGCTAGGCATGTAGTTTGGGGTGTTGGTGGAAATGCTGTTTTGCGATGTTGACGGCTGGGCGGTAGGGCACGCAGTTTGCGGCCCTCGTGGACGTCCCGTTTGCTGCTAGGGGCATTCAGTTTGTGGTGCTGCTGCAGGTGCTGCTCTGGGGCGCTGTTTGCTTGAGGTGCTGGTGATGGTGCAGGCGCATGTGCTGATGCCGGTGCTGTTTTGGGGTACTGTTTGGGGCGCTGTTTGCGGTGCTGGTGAAGTTGTGGGCGCAATTTTGCGAGATTGCCGGCGGGTGCTAGGGGGGCATGCAGTTTGGGGTAGTGGTGCAAGTGCTGCTGACCAATTTCCAAGATTACTGAAAACCATTGCAGTTCTAGCTTCTAATGAAGAAGGGGAAAGGTTCCGGCTGGTGACAGTACGTGACGGCAGGGTGCTAGGGGACATGTCTGGTGCTGGCGCTGGTGCTGCGTTGGGGTGCTGTTGGGGCTGCTGTCTTGAGGCGTTGGTGACGGTGCGGGCGCATATGGACGGCAGAGTGCTAGGGCGGGTGCTGTTTGGGGCATCGTGGTTGTGGCATCATCATGATGCTGTCCGCAGCACCATGATGCTGTTGAACCGATTCGGACGCTGCTGCTCTAAATGTCGTGAGTAACGGTTCCTGGTTCGTGGCTGGTGTATCATCATGATGTTGTCAACCACGCCATGATGCTGCTGTCACTGCGATGCTGCATCGTGGGTGTCGTGGCGCCATGATGCTGTCAACATCAGGATGACGTTGAACCTCATGATGCTGTCGCAAGATGACTGGTGGCTGTGGTATCATCATGATGCTGCCTTTACCATCACCATGATGCTGTTCGCATCATCATTATCATCATCATCAGCATCGTCATCATCATCATCATCATGCTGTCGCACTCATCAGGACGTCGTCTCTGCCTTTTGTCTGCTTGATATGTAGCGCGGAATCGTTGGCTGGTGCATCAGAAGAATGCTGTCAACATCACAACTATGCTACTGAACTCATTAGGGCGTTGTCTGCGCGTCTATTTAGCGCATCATGCTGAGTGGCTGTGGTATCATCATGATGCTGTCAACATCATCATGATGCTGTCAGCATCGTCATGATGCCGATGGAACCGCGTCATGGGTCGTAGCCGTGGTGCGCTGTCTGGGGTCTATGCTTGTGTAGTTTTAGTATTGGAAAAGAGTGCGTTCACATTATACGTATTATTCCCTCGTACATCCCCCCCCCCACCATCCCCCCCCATCCCCACCCACCCATCCCCCACCCCAGCCCCATCCCACCCCACCTGCCCGCGCACATTGACCGCCGCGCGCAGCGGCACGGAGAGCTCCAGGAAGACGATGCGGAAGGAGAGTCTCAGCTAAATCGGGCACTGGGCACTGAGAGACCCGAAACAGCCATGGAATCGTTGCCCTGTTGTTCAGTGTTCTCTTTTTGCTTCTTGATTTTTTTGTTTGTCTTTGGGTACTCTTTCTGGGTCTTGTCCAAAGGCAACCCAAAGAACGAACAACTTTGTTGATAAGCTTTTTTGGGCGCGGGTCCCTTCTTTGGGAAGTTGCCCGAATTGTTCAGTGGCACCCCGCTCTTCCGCGGTTTGGCCAGATAGATGTTTTGCAAGAACGCAAAACGGTGTCCTTTCCACCAGGCATTCGAGGTTCTGTTCTTCGAGCTTCTGTTATTTGTGTCTTCGATGGCCCGCATCATATATGTACACACACACATTATAGTCGATGAACTGAAAGTGGCATCGCAGATGTTCTCCAGCCATCAGACATTTCCAGTAGGGTTAGATGCTTGGAAGGACCGCAGAACAGAGGGATTGTCCTTTTAGTGCCCCGCCCCCTCCCACCCAAAAAGAAAAGCACGCAGCCGCAGCACGGTCAGCAAGTTCGGTGCCAAATGGCAGCAGTGTCGACTTCTCTCTGCTGAAGCCGCTGGAATCCAGCACTGCCTAGGCATGCGATCTGGCGACACCCTACCCGCAAGAAAGCCCTTATGGAAAATCAGTCGATATCCTAAAACAAAAAAACAAACACGGCTCTGATCGCCCTCTAGGCCTTGCCTCTGCGCACCAGGCCGTGGGACGTTTGTGAGGCTGGCTTGCTTTTGGTCTCGCTTCACCTTGCTTAAGACTTACTCTGGATGGACGAAATCCTGCACCGCCTAGGAAACCCTGGAATAATGATTCCCTCTAAATACCAACCAACAATGGTTTCCCATGGTTTCAACGTGGTGCGAACGGATTTCGTCCCTGCACAGTGTCTCGCAGAGAAGCTCCCAAGACTCAGAATGGACCCCAGGGCTCCGCAAAACTGTGCCGCCGTGGCCCTACAAGAACATGTGAAGTCAGCTACGCGTTAGTCAACTTTGCCAACCGAACAAACATCCAACACACAATTAGCACTCGCCATCAACACGAAAATAATGAATTGCTAATGTGTGGATCTGGGATCATATATCGCTTGGGACGATCAAAGCCAAGCATCAACCAAGTGAGTGTCCACGTCGTGCTGCACGAGGGTGAAGACGCTCTCGGCCATTGCGCAAATGATGGGATCCAGGAAGTCGCACTTCAGCATGTCCGGAATGCCATTGCTATCCGCCTGACTGGGCAGCCACATCCCTTCCAACACTGGAGTAGGGTCAGTATTGGGCACCACGGGTCATGGCCTTGACCGGATCTCCATGGACTGGTCACTATTCGGATGGCAGCTACCCTAGTTTGTATTTAGTCCTTCAAAGCTTTCATTTCGCAAACCCATCCGACATAGAGATGACTTGGAGCTCAAGTAGGCGAGCGACTTTGTCTGGCCAATCTTGGCTCCAGGGCCAGGCAGCGGCGGCAATAAAAATAGAAAACGGCATGTCACCCTACCATCCCATTTAGAGTCTGCCGGAGACGTGAACCAGAAGATCACTTTTACTGGCGATTTCAACTTTAAGCCCAACGGGGAAGCCCAGTGATTTTACACGGCGTCACCCTTGCGTGTTTGGCCCCTTGTTCAATTTTCTTCCTTTTGGTTTCCCTCTGCCCAGAGGCCCCTGGGGCTTTCAACGCAAGACCCGACTCCTCCATTCCATACCCCGAAACTGTTGGCTCTCAAAACCTGGCTGTTTGAGGGCCCTAAATTGATCGAATTCGAGCGTCTGGGATCCAACCAAAAGCGGGGCCCAGAAGTGTTTTTCACCCTACGAGTCCCTCCTGCCCGCGGAGGTACTCGTGACCCTGCGGAAGGGCAGACAGGTCCAAGGGCACGGACACGTAAAGGTAGGGCCTGGCCATGAGTCGAGTTAGGTCTTGTTTCAGTATGTGCATGTGAGCACTATGGAAATGACGAAATGTGCGTACGTCCACGTATGAATTAATTTCTATCCAACACATCTATTTGCTTGCCAAGCTTTGGGCTGCCTTGCTTTGCTTTGGCTTGCTTTGCTTTGCTTTCCCTCCCTCGCCCTCTCTCTCGAGCAATGTCGTGAAAATGTATCCTTGCTCTACCTCAGCGTCCACGTGGTTGCATACCTCAAAGCCATTCCACGGCCCAAATGATCACCAGCGTAGGGGATGCCTTGATGGTCTGCTCTTTTAATCCATTCCAAAGCGGTGCAAGAAAGTGCGAAATGAACCGCTCGGCCGAAAAAACGGGCTGCGTATGCTCAGTACCTGCATGGTTCTTGGTTCGGCACGCGTTGGCACCTGGCCAAACATAGCTATAGTTTTCTAAGGAGGGTGTGGAGAGCTGGCAGGGTGCGGGGTCCCAATTCCTTCTTCCTATGATGACCACACATTAGTTTCTTAGCGTGTACCGCGCCGCCAATCCCTTTAAGACCAATCCGTTTGAGGGGGCGGTGCCTCCCAGCCACCAATATGGAACGCAACAGTGGCAACTTGTCTTCCAGGATCCCCCCCCAACCCCCCCAGTCTGGTCACAAGTTGGTGGAAGGGTATTGAGAAAGTGCAAAATCCGCCCGTCTTGGCCTCACTGCCTTGGGAGTAGACTCCGCCAGGAGCGAGGGAATGCCCACCTCGCAGGTGGCGGGGTGAGAACGACGTATTGCTTTACTCAGTAAGTGGTTAAGCCTGGTTTTAGCCCGCTTAGGAGACTTATAACCATGGTAAGTGGGATGATATAACCACAGTTGCTAACCACTTCCTACGTACAATGCCCCTTTAAGTAGTCATCCATTACTGCTCTCGACGTGTTCGCGTTCCGGATGTCCTGGCCCACGCGCGCATGCCTTCTGGCTACATGTGAAGGAACTTGAAATCCGTAACGAGAAATAGCCCAGCCACAGAGACAAAACACATTCAAGGGGCTTTGCGTGCCACTGAGTTTTCACCTGTCAAGTAACATGTAGGCATCTTTGATTGAGTTCGACCCTACTTCAAAGCAACGTGTGGTTGTTAGAGTCCCTGCCAGCTTGAGCCCAGCCCACCTTATTCAGGAACACCAGGTGGGTAAACAGCTCCTGCTCCCGCGCGTCTGGGCACCTGCACAACCCGCCCAACCCGCCAACTGTGAAAACTGCCCAAGCAGCAGGTCGGTCTACGAACTGAATATGAAGATACGTGTTTGCATGTGTGTGTGTGTGCAGGTATGCTGGTGGAAAGGCAGGCGGACGTGTGCGCGAGCGCATGCGTGCTGAGAGCTTGATGTGCATCTCCCTGGTACCTCTACAGAGCGCGCGTCCTTCCGGCCGTTCTACCCTTTAAACTTTAGTTTCCTCAAACTACCCAAGCTGGCGGCTTGTATTGCCTCAGGTCGGAGACACATCGAATCTGCTGTTTCCTTACATTACACAAGGAGGAGATAGGCAGAATAGAATGCAGCAAAAATCCAAAATTCGCACTCTTTCAATTAGTAACAAACTAAATTGTGCGTGGGTGTGCGAACCAAAAGACCAGCGGGGTCCTAAAAGGGCGGTCATATCTACATGCTGGACTATATACGGCACAATTTTCATAAGCAACCAGCCTATTGCAGGCTCAACAAAAAGGACAGTAACAGAAAGTCCCCAACACGAAGAAGTGCTGATGCCATTTAATTTAAAGTCTCAAAAAGAGGCCAGGAAGGCAAGAGCCAAACAAAAGGTTCTCCAAGTAGTTCCTGTTTCCAGTTTGATTGACCGGGAAGGGAGGAGTAAAGGGTTTATGACTGATACGCTCTAAACAGTCTTCGTTCTGTGCACTTGTCCAAACCTTGTCGGCCTGGAAGGGGCCCTTTGCTCATCAGGGGTAATAGTTATATAGGTCTGCACTTTGCGAATCCAGGCGTGTGCGCCGTTCAGGAGTTGCCCAGCGCACGATCTTCACGGGCATGAGCCTCACTTTGTTTGTTTGACACGTCGAGAAGTGAGTGTCCCCAGGGAGAAGTGTGTGCGCGGCAATGACATGCAGCTTCGGCATTAACAAGAACAAACAGGAGACAACTCACAACATACTATAGCTTGAAATTATAGCAAACAGAGTTTAAATGAGTAGATAAACGCTAAACAACAAATGGCAAAAGCGACAAACTAGACAAGAACAACAACACAGCGGCCAGCAACCGACATATACAAACAAAGCACAGGGAGAAAGCTATGAGCACCAACATAGTGCGCACCACTCCAAGCAACACAACTTATCAGCAACAAACACTCAAGGAGCATCGGCGACATACGACGTTGTTTGTAAACAGCACGCAGCAACAAACAAGTAGCCAATAGCAAAGAGCTACACACCACAACAAACACCACACTCGCCAAGACCCCCCTTGATCCCCTGAGTAATCATTATAAGAAGGAAAGAGGGAGTTTCCTGCAATCCGCCTTCATCCGTGGTCAACTTGCAAGGCAAGTGCTCTTGAAGCCAGGCAACAAATGAAACAACAGTTCAACAGTTCAGGTGGCAAAAGCGGACCCTCTTTTCTAGACCTCCAGAATGCTTCTGCCAGTAACCACAAAACTGGTTCGGGGTTGGAGCAGCAACGTCCCGGGTGGCTTTGACCAGAGCTGAGGATGGCACCACCAGTTGCACTCCGCATTGGGCGGCTCGAACCAGTCTTTCAGCCATGGAGTCGTGAAGTACCTGCAGTTTGAGGACTGCAGCAAGGGTATTTGCCAGAATGGGGGGACCCGCAAAAACCATGCATGTGATCTTCCTGTTGGTTTCCCTTTCAATTAACCAACAAATACACTAAAACAAACACAAGTATCTGGGCTGGAGGAGTCGGGTTGTCTCACAGGAGGACCGGGTATGTCCCTAGTTTTTCGTTTTAAGGGACGCCAAAGGGAAACAACCATTTTAGGGGACCCCCAAAAAAAAGACGCACTCAAATGAAACCACCCCCAAACAGTTGGTACCCTCGCAAAAAGGGCCACCCATGTTTTCTGCTTCGCCGCGGTCAGGTTGCACGCCTTCATTCTTTGGACTCGCGCCCAAAGCAAAATGTGAACTATCAGCTGCATGTAGATTTCTTGAGCCATTTGTCTGCAAATGTTACTATACCTCCAAAGGCCGAATTAAGAATCGGATCCCCATGTAGAGGACCTTTATCGTGGTGAGCTTGTTTTACCGGTGAGCTCGCTATAGAGGCAGGGTGTGGCAGGTGCCTGGGTCTGTGTGGGGTCTGGGTCTGTGGGGGGTGTGGGTATGCGGGTGTGGTACGCGTGCGAGCGGGGTGCGACTAGCTGTGCACTTCATTTCCCCTTCAAGTTCCGAGCGCGAGCATCGCACTTGCAGTACGCATGAGAACTCGCGTGGGTTCATCGAATCGTCTAAGAGACTCTTGGTGTCGCAAGACAACCCCCATGCAAAGATTGACCTGCAAATGTGGCATCCCATTGAAGATCCGTCTCAACTAGGCTCACGTGCCACTTTTGAGGGTCAGGAGTCAAATAACTACAGAATCCGAAGAAACACCAAAGCCCGGTCGCTGGGAACCCCTCTACGGGGGACCTGCTTTTCACCCCTTGGTCCATCCGCCCCGTCCCGTCCGGATGCTTCGCCTCTTCTCAGGATGTTCACCACAGGGCGCCTTTACCAAGACCTCCGCAGCTGCCATCCGGTGACACAAATCCCAAACTTGGAGCACGAAAAACCCAAAAACTGACGCACTTTCCCAAACATCTGTGAAAGCTGTTGAGAGCAATTTCCCGCCCATTCATAAACCTGGAACCCACCAGAGGGTCCCTGAAGGAAAATCGCTTTCCAGCACCCCGGACCGTCGAACGGCTCGTTAATGGACATGAGGGTACTTCCTGCCGAACACCAGGTGTGGCCAGCAGTGTGGCGCCGGGCCGCTGCTGGGAAACTGAGCACGACTTCGATTCTCCGACCAATTCCAAAAGGGAAACGGCTTGAGTGCTTCACCCATGGATTCCCCGGTGATTCCCTTTAGCCATTTCGACTATTTTCATACCAGTCCACTTCATCACCTCCAAACTGCACCCTGGAACCAGGTGAGACAGAACTTCAGGGTTGCGGAGTAACTAACGGCTTGCATTAGCAATCATGCATGCAACTCAACCAGAAGTAAATGCAATAGTCACATCCATATGCTCGCGTAGCGAAAAGCAATAATATGCATGTGTATCACATTGCGTCCCAAGCCTCGTCAAAGAAGGCCTTGATCCGTCGCAGCTGGGTTTCCTCAAACGAAAGGCAGGGCAGGGTGTTTTTTTTTTTCTTCTCATGTTGTGGATGGTGTGGCTCCCATGTTTGAACCTGTCCCGAACAAAAGATTGCGGAGAAAGGGAAACCATGTGGCTCCTTCCCTGGTCCCAGCTGATTGGTTTCTCTTGGTTCCCCTTCAGCTATCAAAAGGAGGTCCACCATGTTGGTCGAAAAACCCCACATGTGCCGCACGAAACCTGAGCCGTGGGCAATCGCGACCAGTGAGCCTTCTGGGACAAGGGGACTCCTTTCTGTTTTAACCAACTTTTAGCGAGAAATCCGAACAACATAAAATCAACCAGTCTAGGTTTGCCCCCAATTCCCCCGCAAGCCGAGACCAACGGACCAACGGACCAACCCCCAAAGGCCAGGGCACATCCTGATCTTCAAGCGCATTCTGCCCCCGGTGTGCTCGGATGAAGCTGACCAAGCTCGACTTGTCCATGGCACGGTCTCACCGAAATTCGCCTTGTGGTTTGCTTGCCGCCCGGATTTCGTGGCAGGTATGTGTAGCATGTGTCCAAATAAAGGGGACCCGAAGATTAGTGGCTTTATTATTGGCTTCCCTTTTGATCTACCTTAGGGTACACTTACAACAACACAGACCCTGTGGCACCTGTTTGCTCAAAGTGCTTGCATCGCTTTCCTTTGCTCGGTTGGCTCATCGCGCTGCCAGATGCATTGAAGCGGGCGGAGCCAGGCTGAGATCAGCGAGGAAAGCTCGTGCATGTGGAAGCTTGCTGTTGCTTTTGAGTGGTTTGTGTTGACAAGCTCACTCGAGTGAGTTGCCAGTCTGAACTTGTTGTTTTCAACGGTCCAATCCCTTCCTGCAAAACCGTCTTCCCGTGCAAAATAAGTCCAAGAACGGGCGTGATTCTCGGGATTGGATTCAATGAACTTGTCTCTCGGAGCCCTGGGGGACTTGTTTGGGCTCAGAAGGAAAAAGGATGAGGGTCCCACTGATCTGCCGGGGGTAGCTGGGGGGAGTGATGTGGCGTACCCCCAGTGAACATCCCAATCCCCACTAAAGTAGACTAAAATGGGCGGTGCACCTACCTCAAAATGGTACCATTGGTTTTGACCCACAGCCATGTCTAACCGGATAACCTTCAGGGCTGCGGCTCTTCTCTCCTCCGCCTTTGCCATGTCGATCGCCTGGCGAAAATTTATGCCATGGCTTAGGGAAACAAACCACGAGTCGGCAAATGCTTCTTGCATCGTCTGGAGAAACCGGCGTCTCAGGGTTTTTGGATTTCTTGGGAAATGACCCAGAATGGTTCAAAACAACACGGATTTATCCGGAATGGGGTCAATACCCAGTGGGTGTATTCCCAGGGTGTAATACCAAAACCCTTAGACGGTGGCCCACTCTTGGAAGGCCGCTAAGACCACGCTTTCTGCGCAGTGTGCCTGGCCCCAAGCCAAAGGCCGTCACCTGTCATGCATGAGGTATGCCTGCGACATGCACACACCCACTTGGCCAAGGACATGACATGTCCAAGGAGTGGTATGAGCGGTGGTGTGGCTGGTCGTGTGATGGTGGTGTGGCTTGCTGGCTTTATTGGTTGGGAGTTGTCCTGGTTCACTCACCGAACCTGCACGATGACCCGAGGAAAGGAAAACCACACAACGCTAAACCTCGAACCGAGGATTGTGCCCCAAACGACACACTATGCAGAAGAATGACAAAGCCAAAGATGCTCTCCAAAGGGCCCATCCCCAAGAACTCCAATGGAGGAGGGCTAGCATTCCGGGCAGATCACACAACGTTAAGACCTGCCTCTACCGCGAAAACTTCATCTGCACTTCGCATGGTCGCCCGAAGAATGAGGGCGCGGCTGCTTGTCTTCGGCCCAAGGCCATCCAAAGGCAAAGCACAAATTCAACCCCACGCTTTGAGGCCTGGTCCGAGTAGTTCATGCCCTTATCCCAGGCCTGGCAACTGTGGAGCATCGCAGGAAATACGCCATGCCATCTGTTCAGGGCACTGTGAGCGCAACAAGAAACACCAGTCAAGATCACACATAGAACATCGTTGTAGAACATTGTGGACGGGGAAGCTCGAATGATTGCCAAACACCTGGCCATGCTTTAAACGCCTCAGCAAGTGGCCATTGCCAACACAGGTATGGGACATAAAATGCATTTCACTTGCAAGTCACACTGTGATTGTGCTTTCTGCGCGGGATGCGTGCTCGTCTTTTGTGCACAAGTTCGACCAAAAACTGGCAACCAGCCTTCTCTAGACCATCTCAGCTTCAAGTTCCTTCTCTTGGTTGCAGGAACACTCCTCTGCAAAAAGTCTCTAGCCTTTGGCGGGTTTAATGGACAACCCCTTGATTTCGGAACAAGTTAAAGTCTAAAGATCCAACCCAACAGCAATCGACCGCTTTGCCACTTTTTGAGGTGCCCTGGCCCTCGGCGGGCGGGAGCCGCCTGCATGAGGAACATCAGCCGCAGCTGTCGGGCGGAGTGCACTTGCAACGCCTGCCGGATCCTCGGCACCAGAAGGGGATGGCTGGATGACGTGCTCTGCAGATGGGAAAAGCTAGCAGTAGGGCGAAGCGCCTATGGATTCATCGACGTATTTCTACCTAGGATGCTGATGAGTTCAACGAGTTGCTGAAGTATGTGCTTGGACGGGTCGCCAAACTGTTTGAACGGTTCGAAGTTGTCAATCAGCATCCCACTGCGCCCGCTGTCAGGCTCGCAGGCTTCTGCGACCCATTGCGACCCATGGATGAGGTGATGTGCACAACTAAGACTGGGCTGACAGGGCTTGGTCAAGTGAGTCTTTGTGCTATTTGATGAACACTCTGAACCAATTGGGACTGGCGACCCCGAAACTCAATGACAACAAACAAGCCAAATCTGGCAAACGCAAAAAATCAAAAGGTTGACTTTAAGCAGCAAAGCACCCTGTCAAAAAGAAAGCCAAGAAACCCCATTTGGAGAGGAGGCTTGTTCCTTAGGAGCTGGGCCCTGACCGAACACTGTTTGCATTCTTGCTTCCTGAGGGGGGTGGTTCAATTTAGTCCTGCACTTCAAAGACTCCTTACAAGTGGCGTGATGAAATTCTTCAGCGACTTGGACATCTTGAGGCCTCGCAAAGCCCACGCGACTGACTCTGCAAAAAGCCGACGGCGGACTGCCCATAAGCATCATGTTGGGGGGGGGGGGGCACTTGCGCGTTTTACCTGTGTTGTTCGTGGAACACCTTGCGGGGTTCTAGGGGGGCTATTTTACGCGGTGGTCGCATGTGCAACAGAGACTGGCATCGCACTACAAGACCGGCACCGCAGCCATCACGCTGCCGTCGCGCAAGTTTGCAGCACTGCAAAGTGGCGCGACTGGCACAAACATAGTGAAAAAACCGTATTTGTGTTTCACCCCCATTTGTGCAGCAAACTTGCCCTGCGGTGCCTCAGCGTGTACGCTGCAAGGTGAGGGGCGTGGGGAAGCTAGATAGATGGGGACTGGGCGCTGGCCCGACACGCGCGTTGGCAGGGCCAGGCCAGCTAGCTTGATGCTTCACACTAATTGCGGCAACCCCCCGCCCCTCCCCCCTTAACCCATTGTGTTGCTCCTGGCTCACCCCTAGAGCTGCCACTGGCTTCCTCAAAGTGTCTGTGATGTTGAAACACGTTTCACCTTGACTCCAGCATCCGCAAACAACTTGACAGGCCAAATGCGTCAATGCCCCTACCAAATCTTAAAAATGCGGAGGGAAAGCCCACTGCACACGTGCGACCAACACTCAGCCCCCGAAGTGGCCCAAGTGCAATGTGCGCGCCTTCAATGTGCAAATGCCCAGCATGCCAGAAGTAGTTCACCCACTGGGAGCGTTGGAGGTAGGCCTCCTGAAGCCACGAACCGCCCAAACGGGATCCAGTGGCACGCAATGCGTTGCTACCCGAGACTTCCCCAAGGCTCCGAAACCCGAAGCCCAGTGAAATCGCTGCCTGTGTTCCGCCCCAATGTTCACCCCCACGCGCCCCAAGACTATGATTCAACTAACTCAGGTTGAATAATAAGGGCTCCTTCCCTTTCATGAACAGCTTCCTGCTTAAAAACGCAACTGCGGGGCTCCACCATGGGCCTCTGCTTTCCTCCCCACGTCGCGGGGGAACCCTGGGCACAGTCTGAAACAAATAAGGACCCACATGAGCCCAACCTCTTGTCCGGGAGGAAACCAAGTCATAAACTCTCTTAGCACCTGTGCCATCCCCTCCTAATACCTGAGAAGTTGAAGCTTAAACAACTTTGTGGGCTCCTTCAAGCTAGTCTTCTCTAAAAGCTTGACCGGTTGGATTGGAAAGAGCACGGCCTCGTTGAAAGTAGATACCAGATGCTGCCACACTTAGCTCCAGCCAAAGAACGCATGGTGGCTATATACATTCTTTATGTAAACTTAGCCTGGCCTGGTGCCCATGATTGTTTACAAGCCTTCCAGAACGATGCAAGGCTTGGCCTACATCGGGTAAGGGGCGGGAGGATCATGCCACCATGCTAGCATAGGGACAGTGCTTCAAGGACCGAATCAGCTGCTTTAGTATAAGTGTATGCCATTTTCGGGAACCCACATCACGCTGGTGTTACTTTTGGTTTCCCTTTCAAACCACCAAAAAAAGGGCTACCTTCAGCAAAGCACGCACCAATAATATGGCTTGGCATTGCTGAGGCTAGCTACAAAGGTCCGCTCTAACGTTCCTCGACTGTTGAAGTTAGCTGCTATCGAAATGCTCCATTCGCGCACTGCTGAGGCAAACATGTTTGAGTCCAGTACACTTGGCTCCGGCAACCAAGCATCGTTCTAGAGGTTTGGTACTTGGATGCCCGGCCAAGTTAGAAAGTGTTTGGTGGCCTAGGTTATAACCTGCTTGTGTCCCCCTCACTGGAGCTAACCTTCTGATGAGTGAGTTGAAACACAGGTGGCTAACCACTTACTAACTTGGCGAATCGAACATCCAAGCAGAAAAACGGTTTCCCACTCTCGGGAAGGGGAATTCCAGATTGACATGACTGTGCCAGCCACGGTCTGAGTCGAGCTGCTGACTGAGCCATCTCATTATCGTGATGCCTGAGCCGCGAAGCGACTCTTGCCAGAACGAATTTAAAGAACCCGCTGTACTTATAATAACTGTAACAACTATGGTTATAACCCACCATGGTTGTAAGTCTCCCTTCAGTGGTTTATAACCGTGGTTGTTGCCCACTTACCTGACGAACCCTGCACCTGGAAGCAATCCTTGGCCTCCCAGTGGTGAACAGCCCGGCATCCACCCAACATGGCAAGCAGAAAGCCTCTCCGTCAAAATGCCCACGCGTGCCCACGCACCCCAATGTCTGAAAGCGATCAATCGGATTGCAATTGTCCCACATTGATGGCTTGTCCAAGTGCAAGAAAGGGTTGGCGATACAAATCACGTTTCTTCGTCTAGCCACGCCCGGCAATACTGGAGCAATACTGAGCCAATACTACCAAATACTCAACCAATACCAAGTCCATCATAACGAGTCAAAACCAACTGAGGCCCCAAACAGCATTAAAGGGTGGTACAGGGAGCCTCTGGTCCAGTACGCAGAAATACTAAGCCGATACTGAACTAATACTAACCAATTTTACCAAACCAAGACTAGACCACTACTATGTCAAACTTAAGCCAGCAAAACCAATTAAGGCCCAAAAAGCAAAAGTTTTATGATACCCTCTACTAAGCAGGCTCCCAAACAAATGTCCAAGGAGGTGGTACAGCAAAGTCCTGGAAATTGAATAATGAACGCGCAAGGGTGGACATAACAATCTGCGGGCCAGTTCAAAGGAGCACTAAAGCAATACTATATACACCAAGTCTAAAGAGTACTGGGCCAACACTAAGAATACATAAGAATACTAAGCCACTAGTATGATAATAATACAATTCAAAGGGCTTCTGAGCCAGAACGCAGGAATGAACGCGGGAATACTAAACCAATGCTACACTAATTCTGACGACTGCTGAGCCTAGTCACAGGACTTCTCAAACCAAATCTAAGCTCCTACTAATTTAGCATTTCTTACTGGGAGACTTGAACAGGCCCCTGCAGATTGTTTGACGGGTGGAGGGGAAATCACTCTCCAACAGGAATCAGCATAGGAGAAAGGGATGGGCTATATCGGCAATCTTCCTGAACAGCCAGAAACTCTGCTCGCTCAAAGCAGAGTTTTGCGTGGAAAGAGAGCAGCTGCATTCATGTGAGCTGGAATGTCAGTTTGCCAGCTTGGAGGAATGTGACTCAGGCGATTTTGGATGCTCCCTTCTGCGCATAGAGATGGCTGGAGATGGCAGGCAGCTAAGGACGCCTGCTTCGCAAGGACCCTAAACCCAATAGCCTACGGCTGCACATGGCTAAACTCTTAACCACAGTTTGTTTGTTGCCGGGCATCTCCTGGCTCGCTCTTGTTGATGATACCATTCCTTCAAAGCAAAGCTGCAATCGCTTCAACACGGCGCAGCCCGCCGGTTTGCAAGTTGTTTCCTTTGAGTTGCATTTGGACCCAAGCAGAACGCTGCCCGGGCCATGCTTGGATTTCCAAATAAAACTGGCCATCACGAACAACCGCCCCAAACAAACACCGCGTGCCGCTCGCACCGGGCCAAGCGGCGGGAACTTGAGATCCTCGCCTGAGCCAGGCACCCAAGCCTCAAGTCAAAGCCTCAAGCTGCCAGCAAACACAAACTCAGTTGCCCAACATTTAAACGCTCAAAAGATCGATCTCGCTTTGAGCAAGTGAGCTCTCTTTTCTGGCTGAGCCATCCGCCTTACTACAGAATTTGCGGAGATGCGCTCCTCTTTTGTCCAAAATGGGCTGACAACAGTCCTCTGGCCTCCGGCGTGGATGTCGAGGTACTCGCCATTGATGTCAGTGGCCATGACCGAGCACTCGATGTGCCAACCTGCGGCAAAAAAATAGAGGGCGGCATGTCAGCTGTCGTATATGCAGCGGAAGCTCCTCCTGAAAATTTGTGAATTGCCCTGAGGTCGGCTTGCCCTCTTCACCAGCCTGGGGAAATGCAACCCAAAAGCTGGTTCGCAATGCAATCGTCAATCCCAAGTGGGACACCACAAAAGAGAGAAACCTCTATTATCTCTAAGATATCTTCCGGATTCTCGCCAACATCTCAAGATCTTGGTATCTCCGCCAGGCCCCCCCCTTACGCCACAGGCAGGCGAAGCTCGAAGCGCCTGGTCTGCCTGGACCCCACTTGCTCTCCCAGGCTGGCTCCCCTGGCTTGGACTTCCTGGGATCTCGCCGGGTCGCCGGGTCGACCGCTCCAAACCGCCCAGCTGGGAGCTGTTTTATTTTGGTCAAAGCTGGGGGTCACACCCCCCGATCCTGGCAAATGGAAAGCGACTCGAAACCCGGTCCATATACTGGTAAAAACTCACCTCTGGCCTTCTTGTTGCTGAACACTTATGTGCTTTTGTTGGCCCAAAGAGGCCGAGACATGGGGTGGTTTGGGGCAGCAACTCGGAGCTCCGGTTGGGTTCCGGGGCTGCGGATACCGGGGCTTCCTCGAGCTGGTTTCAACAGCTCCCCATGGGTTTCCCCGGAACCCGGAAGCGTGCATGTGCCCAGGTTGCGGTTGCCCTAGCCACAAGCTGAATCATACGTCCCAAGCAAAATGCCGGAGTCAGTTGTCTGAGGCAGTTGTCTGAGGCAAGCCCATGCAGTCTTATGGGGATCACCAGCGGGAAATCATCGCCAAGGCTATACCCAACGTCCCCTGGTGTGTGAGAATGTCCGCGTTCCCTTTTGGGACCCTGCCATGTTGTGCCAGGACCCAAGCTTCACCATGGACAATACCGACACGTTGAGGCGGAAAATTGGGCAGGTGGAAATATGGGCATTCCTCCTAAACCTCCGGTGGCCATTGGAAAAGGGGCCCCTTTTTGTTGGGGGGGGATTTGTTTTACAAGAACTCCCCCCCCCAAGCCAGCTCAGGTGGTGTTCCCAACTGCCCCCCCTGAAAGCTGCCCCAAACCACCGCACAGCCTATCTGGGCACAGACCCCATAGCTTTCAGCTGTTCGGGAAACAGGTATGGGAGGTCTGGGGTCTTGTGCAGCTCAAACGGGCTCGGCACACGCCGAGAGTCTTCCAAAGGGCGAAGTCGTTGGGGCTCCGCTTCTCCGCGTCTTCGGCCGCCAGCGCCCCCTCGCCCTCCTCCATCTCCTGGAACGCCGTAACCCCTGAGCTGTTTCAGGACCTCCTCCAATTGGTGCTTTGGAGGTTCGGGGGTGGCTTCCTATTTACCCTTCACAAGAACCAGGGGCTCAAATCCCCAGACCACCAATCAAAACCACCAAGTAGGGGCTACCTGAGCCTTGTTGCTTATGCACACGCGAAAAAGCTGAAGATCAACTTAAACACCAGGTCCCTTGCCGGAATCGAGGGCTATAACGAGGCTCAGAAGTTTGCCCGATCGCCAAGTCTCAGAATTCTTTGGCGCAAGCCTCTCCTCAAACCAGTGGGCTTTCAGTAGAGCAGATGTGCCTTCTCTTTTCCGGAGAGACAAGCATATTGGACAAACAAAAACAGAACAAAGACCAGAAGACTACACATAGCAAGAAAACAAACAAACAACCAACCAAACGAGCGAACAAACACACAAACACACAAACACACAAAAACACAAACACACAAACACACAAACACACAAACACACAAACACACACACACAAACACACACACACACACACACACACACACACACAAACACACAAACACAAACACACACACACACAAACACACAAAGACACAAAGACACAAACACACAACCACACAAACACGCAAACACACAAAGACACAAAGACACAAACACACAAACACGCAAACACGCAAACACGCAAACACGCAAACACGCAAACACGCAAACACCCAAACACCCAAACACACAAACACGCAAACACGCAAACACGCAAACACCCAAACACCCAAACACCCAAACACCCAAACACCCAAACACACAAACACACAAACACACAAACACACAAACACACAAACACACAAACACACAAACACACAAACACACAAACACACAAACACACAAACACACAAACACACAAACACACAAACACACAAACACACAAACACACAAACACACAAACACACAAACACACAAACACACAAACACACAAACACACAAACACACAAACACACAAACACACAAACACACAAACACACAAACACACACACACACACACATCAAACAACCCAAACAACCAACTGGCTGACCTAGAAATAGACACCCGCAACAGCTATAAGATTGTCGCCCGGCACTCAGCTCCAAACGCTGTTCTTTCTTTCTGGGGGTAGGCCCAAGAAACAGGTCTTTGCCAGGTAACCAGGTGCACTTTAGCCCCTCCCGTTTCCCCTCGCCTTGGCCGTCGCATGCAGCGCTGGCACCAGCTTCCTCGCGCAAGAAAGGAGGCGAGCAGAACGCCTTTCTCCAGCGGCAACGCGACTACATCAAAGCGTGCGAAGAGCCACAAAACGGACCTGTTCACTGCAAATACCGGCGATTGTTGGAAGTGGACTATTGGCATCCAGCTACCACATACTTCACAAGCTCTATGCACATCAAACAACAGAGACAAACTGACCTATACTCTCCATGAAAAACGCGCTCGCAGTCGTCGTATTGCACTGGTCCTGTAGTGGTAGCCTTGGCTGGTGCGCTGCCAGGCTGCGAGCATTAGGCCATTAGGCGGGCACAGCTTTCGCTGCATGGGATCCGAATCCGTCAGACTTTTCAACTAGGTCCTCCAGTAGAGAGGTTAGTTTTAAGGGTACCCTTTTTTCTGTAGTCTATTTTAGTAGGGAACCCTCCCCCAAAAACAGGGTAACAGGGCACTAACGTGGGACCTAGTCAAACAACTGACTGCCCCACCAAGCCAAATGTCAAGCAACTGACTCAGGATGTGTCCGCGCAGCCGCTGGTTACCCAAATGGGGTTCTCCGAATCTGCGAGGTTGTCACGGGTTGGGCGCCTCTTTAATTTGATTTGAAACGGTGACATCTGGTGCCGCCTCAAGGTCCACGAAGGGGTCAGCCCCATACTTTCCAGGCGTATGATGTCCAAGAAATTGGGGGGCTCCTCCGGACTCGGGCACATGACTTTTGGGCCCTGTTGCGGTATGCCGTGAGTTGAAGTAACTGCTTGAGCTATTGGCACATGCTGGAAATCTTCAAAGGTATACTTCACTTCCGGAGTGGATGGGCCCAAAAAGTCCTTTCACTGTTCGTTTACCCCTAAAATGGGCGAAACCCCCAAAGTTTGAAGCCCAGGAACTCAGGGAGTGAGATATACAAAAAGGCAACAATGCCAATTATACCGATTGCAAATCAACAACACCAATATCAATATCACATACAAATTGAATGTGCATCCCAATGTGGACAATTGCAAGTTCTTCGTCTGATGGACAGATTGAAACGTCAGCTAGTTCCTGTTCCGAGTGTTGAAGCTCCGTACGCTTCATCTTCAGACGCTGCATGGCTGGTTGTGATTTGATCAGCCCATCTGACATTGCCCCGCTCAACAAGCCAAACCCAGCTCAGGGTCACCTGTGGCAGCTCCGCCTCTTACTTGGATGTTCGGCCAAGTTAGGTTACAACCCACTGACAACAGGGTTAACTCCACCTCAGGGGGCGGGGGGCTTGCAACCGGGTGTTCACTCAGGTTACTAACAACTTTCTACCTTGGCCGAACATCCAAGTATGCACCTGCCGAGAAGCCCAGCTTCTCAAAGGAAGCGATGTCAAAGTAGACCTGGGCCGAGGACAGAGAGTGCCCTCAAGTCGGGGCATGGAGAGTCTTCCTTCGGAAATGGTGGAACAAACTTGTGGCCAAATTCTTGCCACGGGCCTTGAATATCTCCAGTTTAAGCTTGATGAGTCTGTTGGTACGGGGTTATCACACAAGCATCCAGAGGAACCAAATACAAAGGCGTCGGGACAACATTGAAAGGAACCGAACTTCACTCTACCGATGCGGAAACATGCAGAATCATCGCCCCTGGGAAGCTACCGAAGGCCATAAGACAACCCCACCTTTTACTTTGGATGCTGTCAGGGCCACAGCGGTAAACCTTTGGCACATGTGGCTTGGACGCCATCGCCAAGTTGCACTTCCGGCGGAAGCGTATGCTACTCCAAGCTCTTCCAGTCTCTCGATGAACTTTTGGACACGGCCATCCATGTACTCGGTAATCCGCGTCCTTGGAAGAAGCGCCCAAGGAGGCTTTAGTCACATCATAGCAAGCCGGGATTCAAACAACAATGATCCGGATACCTCCCAGAAAGCTGCGAATCCAAGTACTTCGTCCATGTTTGGACAGCAGGCATGTCAGCGCAGCAAAGCCTCGGTGAAATTGCTAATAACCGCCCTGAAACAGGCTGATCTCAGCTAGGCTCAAAAGGAACAAACACCAGCCTGCCAAACATATATTTTACAGCCCCAGCAAGAAACCAAAAGAGACTCAGCAGTATGTAGAGCGAATTATGCATGTTCCAGGGTTTGCTGCGGGGAATGACCGTCAAACAAGCAAACTCCCACAAAACCCAGGGCAGACTGTGAATGGACCGTGTCGGGAACAAAGTGCGGCCAGGTGTCACGACGTCGGGTCTCAGAATGCCCAGGGCATCCATGTCCTCAAAGTACTCCTTCGCAATGCGCAATGCATGGGGATGCTAACATTGGCTCTCTGGCGAGCTGGTCACACATTTCTCCAATCACAGCACTGTTCCCCACCTGACATCACAAGCAACATTAGCCAACATGCTGGTGCTCATGGCTTGCTGGCCAAACAGGCATCATATCCTTTACATGTCCCTTTAGACGCGAGTGAAAGGCATGGCATCAGCCTGCAACGCGTTCAGACCACCAAACATGGCGCACCCACGGAGTTGATCCATCCGAACCATCTCAAGGCACCTACATGCTCTTTCGGCCCCTCTTTTCCAGTTTTGGGATTGCTCCTCCTCAAAGCGTCGCCCGTGGGCGTCAAAAATGGAGTGGTCTGTGACGGTGTGGCCCCGCTCTTTGTCTAAGGCGTCCTCGGGCGCTGCGCGGAAACCAGGCATGGGGGCGTGTAGGCTGTACGTCGGGCAGCGGGCAATAACCACGGTTATACCCCACAAAAGCCATGGCCATGGTTACAAATCCCCTTCAGTGGGTGAGTACAAGGCTTACTAACCACCTACTAAGTACCCTGCCCCTTCAAGTAGGAATGGTGTTGTTGGTTGTTGTTCTAATACGGAGTGAAAAAAGCAATTGCGCATGCTTGTGGCAAATTCAATAGACGTTCTTCAGCTCCCAGGTTTGTAGCAATTAAGGCCAGAAAGAGACCCACCGTGAGCCGAAAAAAATCCAGTTTGGGGTTGACCGCTTTTAGTGGGGCACCCATCAAACAGTCAGTCTCCGGTGGTTTCCCATTAACCCTCCACAAGATCCATCGGTTCAAATCCTCAATCCAAACCACAAACTAAGGGTTACCTGAAACAAATGAGTGGCACCCAAACAAAACCAGTGGCACCTAACAACTGGGCCAACTCTCAGGGGGTTCTGTTGTTTTTTTCACCTCATCCAAGGCGCCATCAGCACTTCCCTGGCCGCTTGCAGCACAGCCTCGCTCTTGCCGCTTTTCAGGGCGGCCTGCCGATGGTCGTGTGATTTTGTTTTGGGGCGGAGACCCTTTTGGTTGCCATTTCATTGGGAAACCAAAGGGAAGCTCACCATTTTTCGGGGAACCTATTTTGAGACAACCCCTCCTCCACGTTTTGGCCTGCTTCAAACTAAGCCTCGTACTTTTGCAAGTTGTCAAAGTGGAAAGCTTGCAGGTTGCGTCCCCAGGTCCATGCATGCAGCCCACAAGCACACTATGAGAGAGCGCAAAGCAAACCCCACAGGGGCAAGTGTGTTCATGCCGTGAGCGTGCCCGGTAAGCGATCAAGGCCCAAGTGGCAAAAGCAAGCAAAGTGATGGTGACGCGAGCACAGCGAAGGCATCTTGTGGGAGCTCCAGTTGTCTGTGTGCATGTGGGAAGTTCCTTACAGCGTGAAACTCACAACTTTTGCGAACTTGGGTATGAGGTGGTGGTGTGTCAAATAAGAAGCGCTTTTGAGGGCAAACAATCCGAAACCAACCATTTGTCACATCCCCGTATGCCTTGGAATGGTCCTCCATCCTTCATACAGGCGCACTCGCTTCGAAATGAATTAGCTCGCCCCCAAAAAAGCACATATACACACATCACTTGTTTCAATAATTGGGTGAACACGGCCAACTACTTCTTTTGGCAGGTACCTGTTCAAGGTGGCTTTAAAGGGCCGAGCACCGGAAAGCTACAAATGGCCGCGCCTCCACGCTCGCCTCCAGCTCCGCATGCTGCTGCAGCTTCAGCTGGTGCTCTTGCACCAAAGTCTCGTACTCCTTTCTGAGCGGCAAAACTTGTTTCAACCTGATCTCTTTTTTTTGGGGGGGGGTTGGGAGAGGAGCCACCCTGTCGATCATGCAGGATCTGACCTGAAGAAGGGTCATTAGAAATCCCGCGTAGCCCCCCGACTAATTTGCCGAAGGATCGTGTCAAAACCTTTGCAAAGTGCGAGGACGTGCAACTGGCTCGCACAAACGTGCTGCATGCGCGTGTCCAACAACAGCCTTTATGGATCAGGCCTTGTATGAAAAAGCGTGCCTCCCTTAGTGGCGGTCCTTTTTTGTGGGGACCTGCCATGCGGAAAAGTCTTGGGACCCCGGGCAATGCACGCATAGAAGGAATTCTGATTCTGGGGTGCCCAGTCCCAAAAGCCAGTTGGCCAGTTTGGATGGCTTTGTAGGCTGGGAGATGGCCCCCAAATGGCTTTAGCAAGCAACGAGCAAGCAAACCCCCGGCCAACCCTATATAGAGCCGCGGACCACCCCGGAGCCTATGTGGGTATGTCCACCCCCATGGCTTTCAGCTGTTGGGAAAACGAAAACAAGGGCATCAGGGTTCTAATTTTTGACTTCCCCAGACTAGACTTAAACTCAGGGGTGGCTGATGATTTTAAAAGTAGAATTCTTGGGTTTCAGTCTGTCTGGCACCACTGACCACTGGAAAGCAGCCGAACCACAAATCAGAGTTTTCGTCTCCTGCTGCGCCCGGCTGTTGGTGCCCTCGGGCTTCTGAGGCTCCTGCGAGCACATTTTCGATGAGGCACGCGCCCAGCCGGAGGAGAATTCCCACGTTTGGCACATTGTCGTGTCTCATCCAACTCCAACTTGCCCAAAGGAGCTTGCGAACCCGTGCACCTCGTGACAGCTCGAAAAAGCCTGGTCAAACTCGGGGGATCAAAGTGGCTTTCTTGCCGTGTTTTTCGTTTTTGTGTTTCTCCTTCTTTTTTGTTGTTTCCCTTAAAACAAGTCTAACAAGGGCATCGTCAGACAACACGGCCACCCACATGCGCCACAGTTAGAATTACTGTGTCGCCTGAGGGCATGGGGAAAGACGAAGTTGGTTTGGTTCCCCTAACGGTGCCTTTGTGGGGAGCCCTTTCGGGGGTGCTTTTCACAGGGAACCAAAGGGCGACCACGTTTTTGGGCGAGGTCCGCCTTATTCAACCGATATGAGTCATCGAAAAAACAAAAAGAAACTCACTTGTTGCTCGACCCCCATGATGCCATTTTCACCGAAAATATGAATGTGTCTTTTCTTAGGGGCCCCCCTGAACTGGGGGCTTTCCTTCTTCTTTTCAAGGGGCACCACAAGTTGTTTTTTGTAAAGAAAGAGGACACCCTCAAAAAACCAGCAGCCCCACATAGGGAGACCTGGAACCGAAGCGAAGGGACCCCTTCGGGTCTCCTTGGCCTTCAGCTTCGCCGCCTTCTTCTGCAGCGCCTGGGCATCGGAAACATCGGGGCTTGGGTCGCCTGGAAGATCCCAAGGGGGTTTTAGGGGATCCTGGAGGATCTTAAGAGGTTCTAGGGAATCCCGGCGGATTGTAAGGGAGTTCAGGGGATCCTAAAATATCAAGGGAATGGAAACAATTGTTATCAATTGTTTGCGGGCCAGCCAGCTGGTTTGTCCATGGTGAGGCTGGCTGCAAGCAAAGACCACAACGTGCACCCCACAACGGCGGAGGAAAAGCAACACGCCAACCCAAAGGCCGTTTTCCACCACCCCAGGACTGGATGAAGGCAGGGTCCAGAAGCTCCAGGAAACGGGCACTTGCTTTTGAAGCCTCGAGCCCGAGAGGCCCTTCCGCATGTTCTTACCTTCTGGAAGCTTGCAAGCTGCGCGGAAACAAGGCCCAACCACCTCACTTGCCAAGAATCAGGCTGATCTTGGGAAACCTTCAAGACCTTGCTGGTTTGCTCCTTGTTTCATGGTGACATAGATCACAAATTTGATAACCCCAAACCTCATGCGCGATCCGTCCCCTTAACACGTACCGCTGGCTTTCCATGGCTACACCAACCAAAAATCGGGGGTTGAAGCCCGAAGCTTCCGACTCAGCACGGCACTTCCTGGACCGTCTTCTTCAGGGCCTCCGGCTTCATGGTCGCAGCCTCCTGACAGGCGCATCGCTTGCCGCGGGAACCGCTGCGTGGAGATACACCGCGACACTAGGCACATGGCACATCGCCCCCCTACTGTGGCTGGGTCACGAAATCCTGCACCACTTAAGAAACCATGCGCTGATGATTCGCCTGTAAATACGATCCCACACTGGTTTTTCATGGTTTCAAGGTGGTGCTATTAAGGGGGCAAAGCAAGCTATATTTTCGGAGGGGAACATATGCATAACATGTCCATGTGAGCAAGCAAAGGGGGTCAGTGCATCGCTAAGCCTGCATATCCCAAATGTAAACATGCGGTCGGTGCTAGTTTCCGAGTTGATGGATGAAGTCCCATTGAGTTGCATGTTGGCACTAGCTATTTGAGTTAAACTATGCAAGCTCAAGAGAAGTGAAGGGGGCTGGGACATTGCGCATCCACAGTTGAGCTAAACTAGATGGCACAATTCCGTTTCAGACAAGCGCATCGTCACAGGTGCAGCTGCAGTTGCCTCATTACTGTAACAATGAACAGCCAGCACACCCCCAACACTGGAAGTTTCAGGGAGTAATATGGTCACTTTCTTCTGGGATCCACCACATAGTTGTTTTGAACGTGCAGGGTGGCATGTCAAGTCGAACAAAAGTGATCTCCGCAAGGACACTGGGTTTGCCGGGGTGTACCGCACACTCCTTGCAAAAGTCGCTAAACAGCTTGTTCTGCCGCGCTCGCAGGATGATCTTGTCATCAATGTCGGTGATGTTTATCCTGAGGCATCTGGTTCGAGGAGTTGGTGGGGTCGGTGTAGGGGCTCAGGGGCTTGAGGAGCTGAGCAAAAAGTTGGGCCTACCACATGCACATGTTCCAACATGATGAGACCATTGCTGCAACAGTTTGCTTCGCAACCAACTACGCCAACTGCCAACAGCACATCGAAGCCCACACATCCATGTTGAGCAGAAAGGGTCTGTAGCAAGGCATCTGGGCAACCGTATCAAGCCGCTTGTGGCTTCATGGGGCAACGTCACATATTATTTAGCACCCGAAGGCAACATGATGGAAAGGATTCATGACATCACCGAAGTTGTCAACTTGCTGCTCCCCGACCATAAGGCCGATCCGCGCCTCTGTTCCCCATTGTGATGAGGACATCCGCAGCTCCGGTGATGCTCTGTGCAACAGAACCCCCTCTAATCGCAAAAGCCTGCATCCTGGACTGTTGAAATATGTAGCCCAATACGCATGTTGTCATATACAGTTGTACAGTTGAGACTACTGACATGTTTTGGCTCAAGAAAATAAGGCGCTCCGAAGCGGCCAAGTAGATTTTCATGGTAGCGGGGAGCAGTAAAGGTTCAGAGGGGCCTAATCGCTCAATTTGGTACTTCGCCAGCAGAGGGCGAGGATCAGTACCGCCTTGGAGGCGGGGAGGCCGCGGACGCGGCAGGAGCCCGGCGGCGGTAGAGCCGCCAGGCGAGGAGGGCGCTTCGGTCGTGCCAGAGACCGAGGAGCCGCCCGAAGAGGCCCCGGTGGAGGAGACCGGGTCTGTGCCGGCAGCTGATCTGCCGGTGGAGGAGCCACAGCTTGGAGGAGCTGAAGAGGATCCAGAAGAATTGGCTTCAGGACCTGACTGGTCCCCCAACAAGGAGAACGTTGCCCAGCAGGCAGCTGAGACAGAGAGGATCTCAGCTAAGCTGCTGGAAGAGCCAGAGGAGCCGCCAAAGAAGAGAAAGAAGAGAGGAGAGGATAAGCGCCCAGAGCCGAAGAAGCCGCCGCGCAAAGGGTGGATCGTCAATAGATCCACAGAAGCTTCAGCGTCGGACTCGGACGCCTGGGGCAACTGGCGATCTCCTTTGATCGCCCTGGCAGCCCCGTCCTCATCGCATCCAGAGGCTGCCAGTAGCACAGCACCAGCACCAGCAGCAGCAGAAGCAGCAGCTGAGGAGAAGCCCGAGGAAGCAGGCAAGGGAAAGGGCAAAGGCAAGAAGGGCAAGAAGAAGAAGAGCAAGGCGCCCTGGCCCCGCGTGCAGGAGAACTCAGCCGGTAAGTGGAAGGACGGACGCCGGTCCAAGGAGGCGAGGTCCTACCGGTTCCTGCGGGGCTTGACCAAGTTGAACTTGAAGCGCAACAACCCGATCCCGCCTGCAGTCCAGGAGGCCCTCGATAAGTTCGAGGAAGAGTACGGCTACGAGGTGGCCATCCCCAAAGGCTTTGGCAGGAACGTGCAGCCAAAGACCCCTCCAGGTGGTCCAAGGCAAAGGCCAGAGCGGGAGTTGACCCGCCGTAAGAGAAGGCCGAGCAGTGGAAGCACCTCGGAGGAGGAGGAGGAGCCCACTGCCAAAGCAGCCGCAGCAGCTGAGGAAGCAGCAGCACCAGGCACTGGGCCAATTGCATTGCTGCCGGAGGTGGCAGCCGCGGCGAAGTCTGCAGGCCGCGTGATAAGTGTGGCGCTAGCCACGCAAGAGGCAGCACTGCGCAGACTGCGTGCAGGCAAAGCCACCCCGGAGTCTGCACTGGCCAGCAACTACCGCCTGAGGAACGCGGCAATCGCTCAGGAAATCGCCGAGCGTAAATCACCGGCTCAGGGCACAGCCGGAGCTGCCTCTACGGCAGCGATCAGGGCCCAGGTGTTGGCCCGTGAGTTGCTAGGCTTGCAGCTCGTGCGACGAGAGGCACCGCGCCCAATACCCGTGGGTGTTGGAGCGTGCGGCGCGCATCGCGAGCCAAGGCAAGGGCGCGAAGGGCGCGACGCCTATCGCACCTGCTGCTGTCACCACTGCATCAAAGGCCCTTGCAGTGAACCCCAAGCCCGCGGCGAAGAAGCCGCCACCTGTGCCCAAGGCAGCATCCAGCAAGCCTGCAGCAAAGGTCAAGTTGCAGCCCAAGCCCAAGCTGAAGCCCAAGCTGCAGCCCAAGGAGCAGCCCGAGGAAAAGCCGGGTGAGGAAGTTGCCAAAAGCAGCAAAGGCCCACCGGTGTTCCTCAAGCCCAAGCAGAAGCCACCGGGAGCTCCGCGGCAGAAGTGGTCCGGAATCCGCTTTTCGACTGAGCAGGAGTCCACGGACTCGGAAACCTACACTTCGGGTTCCGAGGTCCTGGTGGAAGAACCCGCCGAGGATAGCGAGGCAGACGTATAGTCTGCCGAGGGCTGATGGCAGAATTAGCTGCCATACAAGCGCAACTGCAGCAGATCCTTGAGGAAAATAGAGTGTTGCGCGAGCAGCAACAGAGGCAGCAGGAACAAACTGCCTTGTTGACCCGGCTGGCCGAAAGCATGACAGAATTGGCTAGAAATACAAAGAGGGAAGAACCCAGGAAGCTGTTGGTTGACACAAAAGGGATTGGTAAGCCGGAACGGTTCAACAATGAAGAGCATACGTTCCGGAAGTGGGTGCGTTCAGTCACAAACCTTGTTGTCAGCATCTTTGGGAAGGAGTTCGGGAAAGTGTTGGATTGGTGCCTCGATCAGGATGGGTCTGACGACATCACTGTGGACGAAGTCGAGGCCGCGCATGGGGAGCCGGACGGGGTGTCCGGTTTACCAGACATGGAAAACCAATTGTTTCGTTTGCTTTCTTCCTTAACCCATGGAGAGACTGAGGACTTGGTGATTGGCTGTTCTAATGGGTTCGAAGCGTGGAGAAGAATCCACCGCCGGTGGGATCCCTTAACCGCCGGACGGAAGAGAAACATACTCCGGGC